GCATTGTCATGATCCTGCCTATCTCACAGGCTTGACTCACAGGTCAAGGATAAAATGAGACTAAGTATGGCCTGCTTTCAAAATAGAAAAATGTCAATGTGAGTCAAACATATTGAAATTCTTTTGCATGTGGAATAAACAAATGCAAATATAAGGTGACTCTATTCCACAATTACCATGCTAACTACTACTGTTACTGCACACTCTTTTCTTGAAGAGCAAGGGTCAATATGCTCTAGTATTTTTTACCCCAAAAGTTCCACCAAAACATCTCCAGTCTAAATAAATTAATATCGCGTCTTGAATGACTCATCTAGTGAGGACAAGAAATTATCTGAACATTGTCAGAGAGAAGTCTGGAATGACAGAAATAAGGATGACAGGAAAAAAAATGCATTTAGTTTATAGTTGTTGGCATTCGCACTTCATTGTTTACAAATCATAATATTCTTTAATATTATAATTTTTTTTTACAACAAGTTGGAGCAAAACTCTCAAGATGGACATTTACCTTCCAAATTAAAAGTTAGTGGAGGCTGGGTGTCGTGGCTCATGCCTGTAATCCCAGCAGTTTGGGAGGCTAAGGTGGGAGGATCCCTGACCCCAGAAGTTTGAGACCAGCCTGGTCTACACAGCAAGAACTTGTCTCTTAAAAAAAAAAAAAAATTAGCCAGGCATCTATAAAAAATAAAAAAAAAGAAATCAGTCCTGGCACCTATACTCTAGCTACCCAGGAAGCTAAGGCAAGAGGATCCCTTGAGTCCAAGAGTTTGAAACTGCAGTGAGCTATGATCACACCATTGCACTCCAGTAGTAAAAATGAAATTATGTTAGTTACTAAAAAGAAATATAGATACTGGTCTATACCTTTCCCCTGCAGTTGTAGAGAAGAAAATGAGAAGGAAATCCTATTGGAGTCTTCCTCTAGTTTGCTAGACTCCAACCCCTTCTTCCTCTTTCACCCTTGAATGTTAGGCTAGAAAGTAGCTGATGCACCCTCCAACGTGCACTCAGGCTTATTTAAGAATTTCTAGTATTTCTCTCCACTTTAGGGTGGCCAAATTTAGCAAATATTTGGGATATACTTATATTAAAGAATGAACAGTTTAATTCAAATTTAACTAGATGTTCTATAATATTTTAGATTTTTTTATTTTTGTCTTTGAGTTTTTTACAGATAGGGTATTCCATTACATTGCCCAGGCTGGAGTGCAGTGGCTATTCACAGGCACAGTCATAATGCACTACAGCCTCCAATTCCTGGGCTCAAAGGATCCTCCTGCCTCAGCCTCCTGAGTTGATAGGTCTACAGGCTCCCGCCAGATGTGCTGTATTTATCTGGCAACCTCAACTTCACCTCCACCCATCTCAATCCCTTCGATTAACAATGTTTGTCAAACTTGCTGTCATAACAAACCACTCTGATGCAATAGGTCCAGGGTCCATACTGGAAACCTTTATTTTCAACAAGCATCCCAAGTGATTCTCACCAGATAAGCTTGGAAAGGTCTAGACTCAGTATGGTGCTGCTGGGAATAAGACCACAAGTTGAATCTCTGTATGAAGCTGGCCTCTTTGCTAGATTTGCAGATCATAGCACACCACCCTAACCCATGTCAGTATCCAACCCTCCAGGAACACACCCTATGCAGATGGGCCCAAAACTCCATGCTCATCCACTTTGGCTATGTTTTCCTATTACCCAGCCAAGCTCACTACACACACCCAAGAGCTGAGGTCCTCTAGGACCAAGAGAAAGCTGAGCCCAACCAGTTGTTTTTCCAGGCACTGCCAGCTTGCTGGGAAAAGCCCAGCAGGAGAACCAGAAGTACACAGGGCTTTCCAGGGTTTGATTATTAGATAAATTATATACAAAATAGACCAGATAGTTCACCTTTCTTTTTTTTTTTTTAAGTCAATGAAACAGCAGCTATGCATAGTCTGGGATTCCCACTGCCCAGCCCCACACACACACACATTTTGCCCCATACTGGGCCCCTCTACCCTCCCTCCTCTCCCTTTCTCCCTCTTGCTTAGGGATAACTGTGCTCATTCACTAAACCTTTGGCTGTTCCTACTTGCTTCTTTCTTTCTTTCTTTTTGTTTTTTTTAAAAGAAACTGAGGTCTCGGCTCAGCGCCTGTGGCTCAAGTGGCTTAGGCGCCAGCCACATACACTAAGGTGGCAGGTTGGAATCCAGCTCGAGCCTGCCAAACAACAATGACAGCTGTAACCAAAAAATAGCGGGCATTGTGGCAGGCACCTGTGGTCCCAGCTACACCAGAGGCTGAGGCAGGAGACTCACTTGAGCCCAGGAGTTGGAGGTTGCTGTGAGCTGTGATGGCACAGCACTCTACCCAGGGTAACAGCTTGAGGCTCTGTCTAAAAAAAAAAAAGATATAAAAAAGAAACTGAAGTCTAGCTCTGTTGCCCAAGGTGGAATGCAATGGCCCAATCATAGCTAACAGTAGCCTCAAATTCCTGGATTTGAGGGATCCTCCTACCTTAGCCTCCTAAGTAGCTGGGACTACAGGCATGTGCCACCACATCTGGCTAATTTTTTTTTAACTTTTTGTAGAGACAGAGACTCACTATGTTGCCTAGGCTGTTCTCCAATGTGGGGAGAAGGCTGTGGGCGGTAGGGTCCTCACAGCCTGGGAAAAGCTCTGGGAGCGACCCCCAACCACTTCTCCGCCCTTAACAACATTGTTTTCACCTGCCAAAAGTCATGCAGCCCAAGCACTTTCCTCCTTATCAACCAGCATGCAGTTTTTCCTCTTTAAGGTTGATCCCTATCACATGTGTTAAGATTTATGCAATCTTATTAAGAAACTGTATAATTAAAGTTGTTGGGTGGTGCCTGTGGCTCAAAGGAGTAGGGCGCCGGCCCCATGTGCTGGAGATGGCAGGTTCAAACCCAGCTGCGGCCAAAAACTACCCAAAAAAGTTGTTTCCATGGTTCAGGGGCTGGCTGTGGTTAGCAGGCACATCAGCCCTCTCGACGTCACCCTCTCTCTCTCGTCTCGTGTGTGTTCTGTTCTCGTGTGTATTCCTCTTCATTTCCCACCTTCCTTTCCACTCAGGTCAACTCTCTCCCTCCTCGCACCGGGTAGCAAGAGGTTCCTCTCATGCCAGTACATGACACCCTAACTCCTGGGCTCAAGTGATCCTGCCTCGGCCTCCCTCAGCTGGGATTACAGGGTGAGCCACCATGCCTCACTAGTCACAACCTTCGTATGTATTTAACATTCTCCTGTTGGGCTTCTCATTAGTTTTCTTTGGCCCTAGCTGTACGCATTTCCTCACTGACTCTACCCTCCATTCCCAGGCTGATCCTACCTCATGCTCTGATTCTATCTTGGGCCTGTCCCTCTGTCCTTCCCTGATCTGTCCCAGGGGACAACATTTACCAGCCAGCCATAATTATTTTGTATCTGCTTTGTGGAAATCTGCTCATGCTTTGTCTGGTCAGACCTCAGCCCATCTCAGCTACATAGAGATGAAGAGGGGTGAAAAATGGCAGAGTGAACAGGACAGATGCTCCAAGAATATTACCTTTCTCCCCAGACTCTCTGGTCTAGGGAAGGAGGAGAAGCATCCTTTGAGTGACACTAGGGTTTCTGCCCTGGCACTTCTCTGCCCCAGCAGGCTTCAGGGCTTAGAATCCAAACCAGCCACTCTCCCTAGCCAGCTCCCCTCATTCTAGGATTCAGTTTCAGAATTACAACCTCCCTGCAAAAGAAGCTTAATAATATCATGCTGGTGACCAAGGAAGGAGGCTACATCACACTTGAGCAGCCAGTTCAGTCCACAGGGAAGGAAAACCTACAGGGGTTGGGGGATGGGGATAGAGAAGGACTCACCCATCTCTCCTCACTCTCCACCCACAGCCCCAGGGAATGTTCATCTGCTAAACGAAGTCAATGTGGCCCAGATGTTGGGCAGCTGCCTCTGGAATCAGTTCTCGTGCTGAACAGCACAGAGGCCAAGGCAGTATGTTGAGCTGTCCTGGCAGCCCTCCTGGCCAGCGATAAACACAACCTCCCAGCTCCCGCTCCTCCCCCAGCCTGCCAGGAAGGTTGCCTTTTTAGGAAACTCAGCGGATCTGGAAGAGAAGCAGACAGAGGGAATGAGGGGCCCAGGTTGAAGTGATCATAAAACTGCAGAGGGCAGGGACTTGCTGGGTGACAGAGAAGACAAGGTATCTGAGAAGCAGCCAGACCAGGAGCTCAGGTAACCACCTGCCTTGGAGGGCCAGTGACTCAGCCTCAGACTATAATCACTGGGAATCTCTCCAGCCACAATCACCCCCACCCCCACCATTCTCACCAGCTCCAAATTTCCATCCCAGCCACAAATATAGCCATTCCCTCAGACTCACTCATTCCCTAGGGCCCCAGACACAACAAACACTCTGCCTAGACACAGCTAACCCTTTCCTGTTGCCCTCTCATCCTTACCAAGTAGGCCCAGCTCCTTCCCTCATTGACACCTGAGAGATGGGGAGGAAGGAGGGAAAGAAGAGAAAAAGAAGAAATGGTAAAGCCATGGGGCCCAATCACCAGAAAGAAGGGAAGAGAAAGGATCCTCTGACTCAGCACACAAGTGCAAGATTCTTCTTCTATTTGCCTTTTAAAATTCTAGGAAAAAGAAGTCACCAGCACCACCTAGTTGTCTATACCTGTGCTGCCTCTCCTGTTGAGAGCTGAGGCCCTGCTTCCCTGGGATGTTCCGCCCCAACAAAGCCAAGTGTTGTGTGGTAAAGGGTGGCAAGAGTTAGGATTAGACCAGGAGGCCCAACCAGATTGGCAATGGCCGGGAGCTATGCAGTAGGGGCAATGTTCCCAGCAACTTCCCCACAACAGCCTATCACTATCCACCAGTGGAAAGGATTCATCCTAGTTTTGCTCAGAAAGGACAAGGGCTTATATATTTAGGAGGGAGGAAATAATTTCATGGGTCTGTTCTTACAAGCAGCTGAATCAGGTATCTGCTCCTTACCTCATCGGAGCACCAGGCACACATGGGACTCACAGCCAGACACTGCTGGCAGGAGCTCACACCTCGTGTGGTACAGATGTTGGGCCCTGCAAGACAGAGGCAAAGTATTAGCACCTGATCTGGCTCATTGAAGGTCCTGGCCTGCCCTATGGTTCCCAACTTCCCCAAACACCCAGGTTTACAGCTCACAGGTACACACAGATACTCTAACCCAGTGGTTCTCAACCTTCCTAATGCCATGACCCTTTAATACAGTTCCTATGGGTTGCAACCCACAGGTTGAGAACCGCTGCTCTAACCATACCACAGGCACAGGCTACTCCTAAGGAAGAAGGAGAATGAGGAAGATTGGGAGAAATTCATCATTGCCCTCAATTAATGAGGCCACAGTGATAGCAAGTGATGGGGCAAAGCTGAGCCATGAACCCAAGTATCAGATCATAACTGATGGAAGGCTTTAATTAACAACTAGTTTGACATCTGCATTGTGCAAATGAAAATATGAGGCCCAAGAAATATCCTCTATTCAGTTATTATAGTGATGTTCGCAGCCACTACACTGGGGTTCCAAGGTCAAGAAGCACTGACTTTAGCACATAACCTAAATATGGTCAGGGCAGAGAGAGAGGATGACTTCAGTGGCAGTGTTCCTCTGGCCTGCTCGGGGAGAGCAAATCTTCTGAAATCTTCTCAAGCTTCCCAATACACGTGTCTTGGAATCCAAGCAAAAAATGCTCCCCAAGGAAATACAGAAATGTTAGGAAAGGCTGACTGATATAAACTGGAAGAACATAAATTCTGGAGTTAGAAAGCCTATATTTGAATTCTAAATGCTCTTATTAACTAGCTGTGGCATGATCTTGGGCAACTCATCTAAGCTGTATAAATGACAATGTCTCACAGGATCTGTGCAAGAATTAAGTGAGTTCAGGGAAGCACATAAAATACTCCAAAGTGCCATTCAAAGGGCAAAGAAAAGGCTGCAGGTGGGCAGGGGTGGCAAGGACAACAGGAGGAACTAAAAGTCCTGAGAAGCTCAGGCAGGAAGCCAAACCCAGGCAGGTGCTTGCAGAGAAACCACTGTCCTCCCTGCTTCCCCAAGCTCAGCATTCCTATTTCAGCCAGGTAAATGCAGTGTCCCAGGGAAGCCTTTTCCAATGCAAGGTACAGATCCATGCCTCCTTGTGACCCAGTCACCCTGACAGTTCCCTTAGCTGGTGTGGCCAGCAAATCTATTTTAGGGAGAAATCATCCTGACGATTGGGCTGATTTTCCAGTGTCCCCAAAACTTCTCACCTAAGTAAATGTCTCAGTCCATCTTATTATTGTGACTGAATTCCCTCCTTCTGAGCACCTTGACAAAAAGACACTCAGAAAATTGTGTACACACACAGTATTGCTAAGAAAAATTACACAAATTTGGAAATAGGCAAAGGAAATACTGGGTATCCCTTCAATGTAATGCAGGGTGTTGACTAGTAAACCCACCATGGTTATAGATCATGTGATTTTCTGGGAGAATGCACCTTGGTTTAACTGTCACTCATTAGAAGTAGAAGTTAACTTGTAGAAAACAAATAACAATGGGAATGATTCTTAATGAAAATAATGTTTATGACACTCATGCAACTATGATATGTATGATACTCACACAACACCAGTGACTTCTGTATGGTAGGAAAAGTAACCCACAAAGGTTAAGGTTTATTGCCTTGTAGAACAGGCACTGACCAGTTTTGAATCTATTAGTTAATTCATTCCAGCATTCCTTTGCCTAACCAACTATAACTCTTCCTTCTTTGAATTCTCTTTCAAACTAGTCCTAACATCTTACTGGATCCTCATTAATTAAGTTAAATAAAACCTTTGACACATGTTCATTTTATATTTGTTATGAGAATCATACTTTTAACTCTTTGGAAATAATACTTTAACAGTATCCATTACAGAGCCTCACTAAGGGGCAGGGAGGTCTAACACAATGAGTACACACATAATTAGTAGGAATCAGGAGACTGTGGTTCTAATTGAGTCATCCACTAATAGCTGGCCTTAGGTGATTCATTTAACTCCTCTTAGCCTCAGTTTCTCCAATCCTAATATTCCTACCATATTGTAATAGTATCTGCCTTAACATCACTGCAATCCAATAGAGTTTAAGTTGTGGCGGCCTGCTCTGGTTTGCCTGCCCAGCTCCAATTGTTCCCCAATGAAAATGCTCAGTTAATATACACTGAAGTAAAATGAGAGATCATGGACTAGATCAGGTTTTGTCTGATTTTGTTTTTTTTAAGCAGCTGAGCTCATTTCTCAAAATTATGCATAGAATTGTAATACAGCACATGTAGACACAGTTCTTCAGACAATTCAAACTTTCATTTTTCTCTCCAAAATACTAGATTCTGTGTGGAATCCTAGAAGCACCTCCTGGAAGCCCCAGATTTCCTCAGAGCCTTGAATCTACCTAACTTCAAAAGCCTTGCCCAACTCTAAAATTCTACGAGTAGGAGGCAGCTATAAGCCCCTGAGTAACCTCTGGGGCCCCACCCTCTGACCTGACTACAACTTTAGGGTGGGAATGTAAGACTGTGGAGTGGGAATTATGACATTGGTTCCATGCCTGGCCCTAAAGCTTCAAGGTCACCTCTGAAGTGCAGCAGCGCTAAGCCACACATTGTCTGCAATGGAAGAAAGGCAGCTGGTAGATTCAGAACGCATGAATGTCCATAACAAACAACGAGAAGAGGGCTTCTCTCTTCAAGGGCTGCCTGGCTATCTCTTAGCCTTACAACTGCTCTCTCCCCAAGGAGATGTGAACACAGTGTCTCTTTATTGTCCCATCAGTTCTGAGAGGAGGATAGCCTCAACTATTTTAGGTATTCCGTGGAAACTGGCATGGGGGGTGGGGGGATGATTCTGGACATACATGCCATTGATTTTCACCAGGAAAGACACAACGAGCCCTCAGGAAGAGTCAGAAGAGGGACGAGGACTGTGGGAGGTATGGGCAGTGCCCAATTATTTTTAAAGATTTTTCCCAGTCCATCCATTCACCCATCCATTCATTCTCAAACTAACATTTCCTTGAGTTCTTGCCTTGTAGCCACAATACAAAGCCCTGCCAGACACAAAACAAGTAACAGCAGGTCCCTCCCAGTGAATAAAGAGTCCCTAACCCCAGAGGATGAAATAAGCCTCCAGGATTTGTCCTTTAGAAAGTCATCCCTGGGGAGTCATGGTTTCCTAGTTCCCTTCATCCCCTCTTTTTAACGACTCTCAGGTTGATTTCGTGAGAACCCATGATCCCCCCACCCACCCACCCCACAATACCCCCAACCTAGTCCCGCTACCAGCACAGGCTCCCTGGAATGCAGTGGTTAAAAGTGCCTGACTCATCAGAATTTCCTGCACTGGGCCCAGGCGGATTCAATGAGCTGTTGCTCTTAGGTCACCCCTCCCTCATGAACATGTGGAAGGAGTCTGGGCCTCTGTTTCTAGTCATTCACAAAGCCCATGTTCCTGTTCAGCCTCTGAGACCCAGACTCAGCCCTTCTGCAGAAGTGAGGATCTTCACCAGGATGTCACCAAAAGAAAGAACTCCAATCACCCTTTCCTCAGACAATTTAGCCAGAGCCAGGAAACAACGTGAATTGGCCTGGTTCTTCACCAGGTGTTTGCAAAAATGAAACGAACCAATCCCTGAAAACTTTGAGCACAAGAGCTGATGATGCACACAAAGTCCTCCATAAATGCTGCTGCTGCTGTAGTTGCTACTGTTTTCTTGTTGCTGATTTTACCCTGAGTCTCAAGTTGTTTAGGGCAGGTGAACATTTTACTTTTTTTTTCCTTGAAAACATCATTCTACAGGACACTAGACAAGTTCAGGTATGCTCTGAACTAGACGGGGGAGGCAGTACAGAGCCAGAAAGTATCAGGCTAGAGAAGAATGCTCAATTGTCAGATCTGACTTCTAAATGGAGTTAGGAATATTAGTGTTCAAAAGTCCCAATCAAGGAGGGACAGCCAAGAAGAGAAGGCCAATGAGAAAAGACAGACAAGGGCAGCCAAGAAGTTTGCCTGGAAAGTAGACACAGAAGGCTGTGGTCTGGCACATTAGCCTGAATCACAGAACCAGAAAAGACAAAGGGTGGGGAAAATAGAGGTGAAAAAGGAAACAAGGAAGGGAGTTGGAACCAGTCATAATGCGTCAATGGGGGCTATTTTCAGGACATGTTGTTCAATGAGACAGGATGTCAGAATTCAAGAACAGGCTACCCTGATCAGTCCAGGGGACTTTAGGAGAAGGCTAACTCAGAGTGAGAGGTGTTTATTGGAAAGAGGACGATTCATTCAGTAAAAACTATAAACATAGGGTGGTGCCTGTGGCTCAAAGGGGTAGGGCACCATATGCCGGAGGTGGCAGGTTCAAACCCAGCCCTGGGGCAACAACTGCAAAAAAAAAAAAAAAAAAAAAACCTATAAATATCTCCCTTACTGTCTGCCAGAGAAAAGGTCCAAGCCTGGGTCCACTGCCCTGCTACTGACCTTTGACTGATCACTTCCCAATTAGGTCCATGGGGACAACAGGTGACTCAGACAGGGCCTGATCTTCATTGTATCCACCTGGCTGGGTGACTCACTGAAGAACAAAACATCTCGTGCTAACCACTCTATGTATGTGCCAGTGGTTTCTCTAGAGCAAGTTTCTAAGAAACTTTATTTTACTCTTGTTTATTCCTTAAATGTAACAGCAGCTAAGTAACCCAAGGGGAGGATAAGGGAACAAGAAAGTGGAGTTCAAGGTAATACACACCTCTCAGCAAAAAGACCTAATAAGCACTGCCCAAAGCAGTAGGGAATCTAAGCTACTGTTTTTCACCAAAATGAAAACTATGGATGTAGGATATATCCTGATTATAAAAGTGCAGCAGAGCCAATGACATATGGTATTTAACAATGGAAGGCATGTAGACATAATTTGCCTTCACCAATATTAAAATGTGTTATAAGTTAACTTATGTCCCTAAAAAAGACATGTTGAAGTCCTAACCCTCAGTACCTGTAATTGTAATCTTATATGGAAATA